GGTTTTTACCTGAACCTTTTGAACCATAGAATACTGTTGACAAATTATGGGAAAAAGAATGTTTGGAAAGGGCAAACAGCTCCTGAAAAACACTTTGAGTCTCACTGACTCAAGGGAAAAGATGGTATCCAGAACAGATAAGTTACCTTGCTGAAGTGTCATGCTTAAAAGCACTGAGTAAACTCTGCACGGGGCCTTTGGGATCCAGTACAGCTATTGTAGGAGATCAAGGAACACATTACACAGAAATAATCTTTGGGTTTTTCTGCTTTTACACTAACAAAAAGAATGAAATGTAGAATAACTATTTCAGTAACCAGACAAAAGCTATTCTATCCTGCAGTCATACTCAGGGTAGTACCGATTCCTGAATACATTGTGGATTGTATCTTGATCTGTTACAAATTGAATTGGGAAAATGACTGTGGTGGAAATGTGCTTCTCAAGAACCAGAAGGCCTGCTGTGGAGCTTGCTGTGTGCTGGGGTCATACCTGGCAGGTTGATGGGATGCTCCTGGAGGTGTTTTTCAGCACATGAACCAGTATTACTCGTGGGTAGCTGTATGGTCTTGCGAAGCAGAATTTGGAACCTACTGGTGTAGTAAGAGAACCAGTCTCCTACTGCGTACACAGTAAACTCAGAGCAGTGCCAGAAATGTCTACAACGGCTGTGGGAAAAAATGCTTTTGTAGTTCTTAATCTTTTACATCAAGGATTAGTTCCCTAAGGTGAACTGTGAAGAAAGGAGACAGTAGATAGTCTGATCTTCTCAAAAGACACTGTTACACACTATTACAATTGTTAGTGCTATGTCTCTTGGTCTTACTACTGTTTTAGTGAAGCATGTTATCATGTGTCATTAAAGGAATTCTAAGGAGTCCTTGCTAATTTCTAAAAGACTTTATCCTAACCTTGAGCAATTTTTAATTCTACCTTGCTCTGCCTAATTACAGATCCCTGTTTATCCTCCCCTGTGCTTCCACCTTCATGACACTTCCTTTGTATCCCACAGTTTGCACATATATGAGAGGCAGGATCTGCCCCTTCGCAGGAATCACTCCTCTTATGCTTTGTAAGTAGAATTACAATACAGAAAACATCACCTTAGTCAGAGCAAAGTAGTCATGTACTTTGGTGTCCTTGTCAAATTACTAATTGCAAGGTTTTAATGTTTGAAATGGAGAGTTGCTTAACAGAAGAAGGTGACCTTCCTGTTAGCAATACCCGAATACTGATGAGCTTATTCACTTCCCCTCTAAGGGAGTTGTAGAAAGGGGAATAGAGGGTCGGCTAGATTTCATTATTAACAATAAATGGGAGCCAGATTATTTTGGGGTTTTTAACAACTGTATGTTGTAACTACACTGCGAATGCCATTCCAAACACCCTCTAAAAGCTGCAGCAACTATTAATCTCAAATAAATACAAAACAGAGTTTGTAGATGTTTAAGTAATAGACCAGCCCTTGACAGCCATCCACATTAAAGAATTCAGTAGCCTTATATGACATCTTGTTTACACAGGCTCTCCTTATTGTATTTACCATGTAACTTGAGGAATTGTCTGTGTCAATGCTCATGTGCATGAAAGTTACTTCTTAGGGGCAACATTGCACTGTTCTTGTCTGCCCTCACTAAGCACTTGGAACAGTGTGATTTCTTTGAGCAGTACCTCAGCTGTAGGCACATTTCCTAAAATGGGCGAAGGGAGGGTCAGGAAGAACTCCAGTTCCTCAATCCACCCATCTCTTTTCTGGCCAGCACATCAGAGATGGAGGTGCCAGTGTCTAATTTGCCATGTTTATAGGCCAAACAGGAAATGGGAGAAACCATGACTGAGGTGTGCCTTTGATTCATTGCTTTTGGTGGTGATAACAGCACCTGCCTTACCTATTGCCCAGTACTCTGAAGTCAGTCTAAATAGTATCTTAGAAATGGCTCTCGTGCACCACATGTGCTTGGGAAAACTCATGGTGTGACATCACTGACTCAGGGCTTGGAGAGAGAGGGAGCGTGCTGCAGGTGAACAGACCTGCTTGACTCACTTCAGCCATAGAGAAATGACTGTATATGAAATGAAGGCTTATAATGAGCATTTTTGGATTAGGAATATTTTTAACTAAGGTCTACAGTGTATTTTCTAGTGCACAGCTCTGCAGGTCAGACTGCAAGGATGGACTACAATGGCATCTTATCATTTATCATAACAATGTTAACAAACTGAAAGTCTGTGCAGATGCCTCTGAATGATGTTTAGCTTACCCTTGAGTGCTAATGTTCACAGATGATTTAAAAGTATGATTGCTTTGATTCTGAAAGTACAGCTATGAAATTCTTTAAGGATAAAAATGCTGTTTAGAGATTTATCAGCAGTATGTCTCAGGGGCTCATGTTTGCTATAGGTATTTCACTTATCACCATATATGCCATAGGAGGCTACAGATATTAATGCAAGTGTTAATATTTTTAACAGGTCTCTCTCATTTTCTTCATAGCAGCTTGTACAGGAATAAATTTAATCTGTCCATAAAATAAAAAGGAAAACAGTGCTTTTTTGATATGATCTGTTTAGGGATAAATAAAATTGCCAATCAGAAGCTTCCTGTAATGATTAGTCACTTTCTATAATGTGTGAGAAATAAATTATAGTGGACTTGGGATTAGTTATATTGATTCACTGAAAACTGCTTCGCTCTTTTTGAGTTTGAGTAAACTGATCACAGTGCCCAACCAATTGTTTGTGAAAACATGGTTGGTTAGAATCACTGAGTGATGCAGAAAAATTCCTTAGATAGGCTTTTGTGCCAAATGCAACTTCTGATGTAATCCCTGGAGGTCATGTGCAAGGGCAGGTTACATATATGAAGTCAAGACATCCTTCCCAGGCAGAGCTCAACACCTGGGGTATTTTATATTGCCTGACCATATTCACTTAGTCTTAAAAGCACACTTTATCTTCCTTCTCAGAGGAAACTTTCTTGGAGACCACACCCAGGCATGGAAATGCTACTTTATAAGATCTGCTATGGGTCTGATAGTACAGCCATTTCTTACAGAGTCCCATGAATAGTATTTTTCCCACTAAAAATATTGCTGTGCTGAATTTTTACCATGCCCTAATGTGAATCTGTCATAGAAAATAGTTGATTTTAAGATATTTAACTGTTATGTTGGTGGCCTCATCTACATTACTAACACTTGTGCAAGCACTGCTGTGGACCTCCAAACCTTCAGTATATGCCTCAGCATATTGCTAAGCTATCAAACTGACAGATTTGGTGCTCAGTCATAGGTGTGGGAGACTGACATTCATAGAGGCTGCCGGGACTTCTAGCAGAGTGACTAAGGAGGAGTGTTGTACAAGGTATCACCAGTTCAGCCAAGGTTTAGGTTTAACCCTTCCCGTGACATCCTTGACTCATCACAGCGAATACAGCAGTGGTTTAGTTCAGGAGCTGAACGACAGGCTGCTCAAAGGCCCATAGACATCCGGGGTGGAGTGGACATCTGAGCTGTGAGACCAGTTTGTCCAAGATACACTATTAGGGCTGTGATTTCAGTGTCTGCAATCATTCATTGGCATCATCCCAACTTGCTTTTTAGCTTCAGAATTTGTGTGCTGTTTGAAAAAGAACTTTACTTGTGTAATTTGTTCTTCTAGTGGACTGAACTTAAGATGATTGCTACATGCTCATGTTAGGCAAACCAGGAAATCCATATCAAGTACCACTTAATGTATTTGCATTTGAAAGAGGCAAGCGTTATGGTAATTAAATGCATGTGCAATAGCAAAATAATTCCTTGGCTTTTTGCATAAAAAGTCTCCAGATGAAGAGAAGTGTCACTTGGGGATGCAATGTTCAATACTTTTCCAGCAGCTGATCTGTGCTAGGAGAGTTGCTAATACCTGTGAGATACACTGCTTATACACAACATTAATTCCAAAATATGCAGTCATCAAATACACTGAATAGCATTCATGAGCTGCTTGCATATCCTGTGTTCTGTAGTAACTGAACTCATAGTAACAGTGTTCTTGATTTGATTCAAGCTTTTCCAGCATGTGCAGAAAGGAAGTACAAGACCCACATAAAAATAAACTTCCCTGTAATAGTTTAGAGAAAGTACATGTGCTTGAATGTGTATGCACACACTGTGTAATACACAATATACTGGACTTTTGAGTCACACATCCCATGGAACAGTAGGGTTGTGACAGGTCATTTTAGCTAATGTTCCTGGTAAGCTTATGGTGAGTGCATACACAGTGTATTTGAGATCACGGGTATGATTCCTTATAGAGCAAAGCAAACCAGTTATGGGAAACTAAGGCATTCTGTACTGTTTGAAAACATCTGAAAATGCTTAACTCTGATGAATTGTATGTTTAATTGGCTTACCCTTCCTCAGCTTTATAGTTTTTTTTTCCAGTAAATCTGCTCTCTTCTGAAGTATTCCTACAGATATTTTAACAAAATAGCTATCATGCATTGCAAAAAATTTTAGATTGAGTTCAGTTTTATAGTTTTGTCAGCTTTTCCAGTGATGAGAAGAAAGTTCTGGCTCTGAGGTGGGTCTGTTTTAGCATTGGTACCCTCTCCAGTGAAAGAAGCCAGCAATTTGGGGAACACTGATAGGAATTCCTTGGCGGTTTTAGTGCAAAGTTGCTATATTTCAGCTTCAGATTCTCCAGACACACAGAGTTCCCTACATTTCTGCCTCCTGTTTTCCATTGCACGTGTAGTTTAATGCCTGGTCAGAAGGCCATTGACTGTTCCCTTTCCCAGGGGAGCTGCGGCGAGTGCAAGGAGTAAACGTGGGCAAGGAACGCGCAGGAGCAGCGCTGCGACCTCAACGCCCTGCGGATGCGGCGGGTCCCGCTTCTCCCGGCCGGGCCGATCCCGCCGATCGCGGGGCCGCGGCGCCACCGCGCGGGGAGCGGGGGAACGGCGGCACCGGGCGGGGTTAAGGCTCGGCACCGCCCCGGGACCGCCCCGGGACATGGCGGCGGCTGCCCGGCCCTACTTGGGCCTGCTCCTGTCCCTGTTCCTGCTGCAGCTGCCCCCAGGAGCCGTCGCGGCCGCCCGGGCGGGGCCCGGAGGTGGGCGCGGCCGCGGCCGCGGGGGGCTCGTTCTCGGGGGGAGCCGGGGATGCTCCGGGGGAGCCGCGGGTGCAGCGGGACGGAGGGAAGCGGCCGGCGGGCGCTGCAGGGCTGGGCTGCATGTATCCATGTATCCAAGAGGGCTTTTTAAGAAATACGCATGTAGTTAATTTAATGGGGAAAACAAGTATTTTTATCTGTTCGGAGCAACCTTATACGGCATGAGACTGTTTTTTTACCTGTGGCTTAACACCCCCTCTCAGAGCTTGCAGGCTGTAGTAGGGGTAAACCCATAAAGTACCCTCTTTATTTTGCACCACCTTTCTGTAGCCAGCTGAAGAAAATATCTGTAGCAGCTAGAGAAAACAGGAATAACCAATGAAACGGGAAGGGAAATGAAAACCACTGTAGTTCTGTCTAGGCCAAATAAGAGTTCCTACCTGTAGAAGAATTAATCCTGTTGTTTACATTTCCTTACAAAGATACTGATTCTGTGATATTCAATATTCTTGCCCATCTAATTAATTTTTCTTTCTTATATGCACTTCAGGGTTAAAACCAGCATAAAGTAGCCTCTGCTTACTGCAGTTCAAGTTAACTTATTCTTAATTGTGTTTCTTCATAGATGGCATGAATATCCTGTTTATAGTTGTGGATGATCTCCGTCCTGTTTTGGGCTGTTATGGAGATAAGCTTGTTAAATCTCCCAACATTGATCAACTTGCTTCTCGAAGCATTGTGTTCAGCAATGCATATGCCCAGGTGAGATAAATTACCTAAGCATATTTTCTCTATGCAAAATAATTACTGGTTTTGTCACAGTTGGTGTTAGGCAGACCAGTGGAAAAAGCAAGTATTTAATAACTTTAAGTATTTACAGTAGGAAGTAAATGGTTAGCCTGAACTGTGATATATGAACCTATCTTTACTAAGGTGAGAAAAATTAAAACAGGGCATTTAAATTATGGTACTTATGTAGCCCTTGGAGAAGTGTAATGCCACTCTAGTATTTTCACTGTTAGCAGTCAAGTGTTGCTTAAAAATGCTGTTTTACTAAATTAGAATTATTTTTTCTATTGCTTATAAAAAGAGTATATTTTACATTTTAATCTTTTCTTTTGAGGAAATTGATTGAATAGGCTGCTGTGGAGGGGCAGTTTGTGTGGTAAGCATGACTTAGATGACTCAAAATCTCACTAATTGCTCTTCACTTGGATGCTCTGCATAGGATGCCTACAGTCCCAAGTTTCTTTCTGCTGAGAACTTAGAAGTTTGAGTCTAATTCTGGCTGGGGAATAGGACTTCAAAGCAATAACTCTTGGTTCTTGTCAGTCTGAAGCAGAATTGGTGAGGCCTTTGGACCGTAACCCAGACCTTTTGTGTTTATCCTTTCATTATTCTTAAGGCAGTCCAGATCAACTAGACTTTGGGTTTTTATCAGCACAGTCCACCTGCCACTGCTGCTTAATTCCAGGTGATGTGAGCAACCAGATTTCAAAATCACTGCCTTTATGGAACCTGACTTTTTTTTTTCTTTCTCTTTTGCGCTACTAGCTCCATAACCAAAGTTTTTAGTGCTTAGGAATTGGCTATTTGATATGATGAAAAATTATAGATAGTTAGGTGTCTACCTTGGTAAAAGTTTGCAATTGGGCATTGATATGGTTAATAAGGATGCTGTTCATTCCAGCCTGAAGTGGATTGAAACATTCTCCCTGCAGTTCCGGAGCCTTCTCAGATGTTCTGCCCAGCCAGGCCTCAGTCACTTTGTACTTGTGTTTTGCTTTCTGTTCCAAACTGATTCTCTCTTTGGCTGGCTCTCTCCCCAGCAAGCCCTGTGTGCTCCCAGCAGGGTGTCCTTTCTCACTGGCCGCAGACCTGACACCACCCGGCTGTACGATTTCTACTCCTACTGGAGGGTACACGCAGGAAACTATTCCACAATGCCCCAGTATTTCAAGGAAAATGGCTACGTGACCTTATCTGTGGGGAAAGTTTTTCATCCTGGTATGGTTTGAATTGTCATTTGCTTTACATACAAATGCTTAACGTGTGTAGCCTCATGAACAGACTTATATGATTATCAATGTGTTGTTCCTGTCTATATTGAGAACCTAAATCTCAACCACGAGCCAGATTTTACGATGATTGGAGGTTGATTTTAAATCCTAAGTCCTAAGGCATTAGAGGTGACTGTATTAGATGACTCTTACCTAGTGAATATTTTCACATCTTGTCTAGGAATTGTGGAAATAAATGCCTACATTCTAAAAATACATCTGGAAGTGAGGTATTTGCTGAACATGAAATTACTGAACACCCTCATTGGCTTAGTTCTGCCTGCATGTTCTTCATGTTGTGGTTGTGAGTGTGGATCAGGACATATAGAATGTATGATAATGCTACAAGTTCAGTAGGAAATTAGTTCACTAGTTAAAAAGCAGTAACGCTACTGAGTTGAAAAATACTGTAATACTGATCCTCTTTTTGGTAGTTTTTTATCCTAGAACTAAACTTGTGTGGGTATATGAACTTTCAGTTGATAGTAAAGCTAATCAAGGATGTGCATGAAGACTGTTATTAATCCTGGGGTTTTGGGGAGGATTTTTTGTTACTGTTCCCAGAAGTAATTTCCCTGAGGAATTACTCCCATTTAGTAAGGCTCTTCAACAGGCTTGAATCTTACTCACCAGTAAAAAGTGTATTCTGGGGAAAAATGTCTGTCTTAAACTTTTTTACTTTTATTTCTTGGTTTTCTTTTTCTCTGTTGTCAAAGATTATTTGAAATGTTTCTTCATTTGCATATTAAAAAAAAACCCAACAGCTGAACACAGGTTAAACTTGTGTTTGAGCTTTTCCTGGTTCGGTGAACTATTAGAGAATTTCTAATATCTTCTTCCTTTTCAGGGGTTTCATCCAATCACAGTGATGACTATCCATACAGTTGGTCCATTCCACCCTTTCATCCTTCAACTGAAAAGTATGAAAATCATAAGGTAAGGATGATCTGTGGGACTCTCACAGGAGAGTTTTCAGGATATAACCATCCTGCAGATGTTTTAAGTATTTCTGAATTGGTACTTGGAAACTTAAGTTACTGAGATATAAGCAAGAGTGGTCTTAATTTGTGTATATGTCATTAATTCCTTTATCTGAAAAGTGCAGTTGTCAACTTGCACATTGGTCTGGCTTTGCTTAGTAAGTGACAAAACATTGTCAACAGTCTTAGTGAACTTAATGCAATAAAGAGCCCAGGACTGAGTGAGTGGTGATCATAATTAAAGTAATCTTTAAATAATCTGAAACTTTATAATCTGATTCAGTTTTCTAGAATGTTTGTTACTTTTAAGTGTAACCAAAACAATGTTTATGCAAACATTGCATTAGCATCATGTGTTGGAGTCTGTGCACGGCCCAGCAGGAGCTGCAGCCATGAGGGCACAGGGAGCCTCAGCAGTGCTTTGGTCTTGTGTTTGTTGCAGGAAAGGACTGGTTTTAACAACGACAATATTTGCATCCATGACATAAAGAAAAGTATGTTCATTTAGCAACTCTCCCAAACACCCTGCTGAGGCCGCCTTTCCCTGACAACTGTTTAGTCCAGTTTATCTCTCTTCACTGATTACACATCAGCCACTGCTGGCATTTGCTCAGAAACTAAGTCACTAGCTTCCGGGCAGCTTTCTGTGAACTCTTGGGATCAGGAGTTTAAATGCATGTGTATGGCATAACTGAATACTGCTGCATTGCCAATAAGTCAAGAGATTCTATTCATCGTAGAAGCTGTGGGTTTTTCCCCTGTATGACCATGTTTAATCTTCTACCCAGCTTTAGAGAGTATTTCTGCTTTTCCATAGACATGAATGTTGGATTCTTTTGTTGGTAGAAGGATTGAGAAACAAATTGGTTTAAAAGTTATGGAACAGAGGATTTCGTCTTTGCTTTTATGGAAGTTACTTGACTAATTTTTTTTAATTTTTTTTTTTTTAAATAAAGACTTGCAGGGGAAAAGATGGAAAACTTTATGCGAACTTGGTGTGCCCAGTGGATGTGTCAGAAATGCCCAAGGGTACTCTGCCTGATATTCAGAGCACTGAAGAGGCCATACGTTTACTGAACGTTATGAAAACCAACAAGCAAAAATTCTTCCTGGCTGTTGGTTACCACAAGCCACATATCCCACTGAGGTACCCCCAGGTGAGGAGATGGGAACCTGCAGGAAAAGGAACTTGGACAATTGTTGCTTTCGCTTTGCAGAGCTGTTTCCACAAATGCTTTGTTGCTGTTGTTTCTGGGAAGCGAGCTGAAAACCAGCCTTCATTTGGTGTAACTTCAGGAGTCATCTGTGGTGGTTTTCAGAATGTTTAATGAGAATGAATTGTGACTCCTCAGCCAAAAGCCAGGCTTCTACCACCATAATAGTGACTGCTGCTGCATGGAGATGGGGCTCAGCTTGATGGAGTATGACATAATGAGGCCTTACAAGATCTTGTATTCCATTCCCTCTTTGAGTTGGTGGCAAAATTCCTACTGATTTCAGTGAAAGTGCTGTTGGACCTTTTATTGCAATGTTATTTTGAGATACGGGAGGCTGGGTTTGGGTACTTACTAACTCAGTATTTTTCAGGAATTGGTTGGAGATGACTAGTATTGCTACATTTTACACTGTGAGGGAAGGGGAATGAAGCCCTGTAAATTGTAACATTTAAGAGTCATGCAAGGGGAAATGATTGCTGTTTTACAACACAGAGTTTACAGTAAATCTGAGGTGAGGACAGTATATGTGTTTTGTATTGTAAAGGAATTTCTCAAGTTGTACCCGTTGGAAAATATCCCATTAGCCCCAGATCCCTGGGTGCCCGAGAAACTACCTTCTGTGGCCTACAACCCCTGGACAGATATCAGACAGAGGGATGATGTGGAAGCATTAAATGTTAGTTTCCCTTATGGACCACTTCCAGAGGAATTCCAGGTAAGCTGTCAACACAATGCACTGAAGTCAAACTGCCTCCACTTGTTCAAGTGCAAGGGAGGAGTTGGCTGTTCTTAGATGTTCCCAGTTATTCAGCAGTTGTCAATTTGCAAATATGATGAATTCCCTGCCTTGCATACTGTCACCTCTATAGACAAACCTTCTCTGTCTCTGCAGTTTGGTTGGCATACGAGGGAATGTATGTAGCAGGTTTACCAGTGTTGTGTTTGTGCTCGTTATCTGAGTCTGTTTATCTGTTTCAAGCAAGCACAAAGGGTATCTTTTGCGAGCTTTTCCTTGGCTTTCCAGTGCTTATGCCAAAACAAGGTGCACTGGCTGGATCAAGGGAATGGATTGGTTTGCAGTGTTTTGCTTGAAAGCACTTCAGGAAGATAGAATTTTCAGACTGCCCCCTCCCCATTTACCTTTTCTGGGACATTAATCAGGCTACAGACACTCAAAAAATAAAGCTTTAAAAGTAAAATCCCTTGGTTCTTTTACACAGCCACCCAGTGGTTCTCCTGTGTTTGTGTCTGGGGAAAAACTAACTTTTTTTCCCCTCTCTCCTGTTTTCTTGACTTGCAGCGGCAGATCCGTCAGAGTTACTATGCAGCAGTTTCTTACCTGGATGTGCAGGTTGGCCTGCTCCTGAATGCTTTGGATAATGTAGGACTCTCAAATAACACAATGGTAGTTTTTACTGCTGACCATGGTAAACATTTAAATCTTTCACCAGCTCACTTAATAACTTCATTGTGCAACTAAAGGCTGGCACATTAATCCGGTGTGTGTTTCTGTGACGTACAGCAGAGCTGCCTTACCTTGTATCTCTGGTTGGTCTCTCTCTGATTGAAGGGACTGGCTCTGGCTTCTGTGGCTGCACCGTTCTGTCCCCACAGACACCTCCTTAATCAGCTTGAGGGTTTGCTGGTGAGGGATGAGGCTGGGATGAGTGACTCTTGCTGGGAACAGTCCTGTGAAAGGAGAGCGACCATTCCTCCCCCCTTACCATTTGTAGAGAGCTATCTCTAGCAGTGGGTGCACCACAAGCTTTCTCATTAATGGCTCAAGTGTGTTTTCTTGCACTTGTCATTGCTGCTTGCAGAGCATCTAAACTGATAGTGATATGGTCCCCCCTCATAACTGAGGTCTTGTACACTCTGGATCCTGGTGGTAAAAAAATGAATTTGATCTGTGGGACAAATACATCAAGCATTTAATGGTTGTTTCAGTACTCTAATATTCTTTAACCCTCTCATGATCCCATTAATGGGGGAATGGCTTAGCTGACTTAAACCACTTAGGATGTGACTTAACTACATTGATTTATAGTCACAAATTTATTTAATTTGGGTTGATTTTTTATATAAACAAGCCCTCGTGAGTTGTAGAGCAATGGGGTTAATATTTTTGGTACTAAAGTGACTCTAGAAGTTCCTACTGACTTGCCACTTGACTTGGACTTTCCATTTTAAACTGAATTCTTCTTTCCCTTGTGTGGATAACTGTGAATAATTGGTGTTTCCAGTGCCATGGCTGGCAAAGTGATTCAAAATATCATGTGTTAACACAGCTGTCATAGAGTTCCTTTGTCTTCCCCCAAGTGAAGTTGGCAGTAAATCTGCCTAGAATGAAGTCATGTTGGCATCTCTTTCAAGAGGAAGAGGAGAGCTAAAAAGTTTTATCTCTATTGCTTCCTCGGGAGTAACATCCTGATATGGCAGTCTGGCATGGATAGCAGCCTTGGCTCCAAGGGATGTTCAGTTTCAGTGTTAACAGGAGTATTGGAGAGCTGGCAGCTGCCCAAAACTTAAATGAGTGCTTTGTGGCATTGATCTGGAGACTCTTGCAGGAGCTGTGGCACATTCCAGTTCCTCTTTTCTGCCGTTGTAATGCTAATTGCCTAATTCTAATCTAGAATAGGGGAAATAAGGAAAGGTGTAATTATTTCCTTAATAAAGAGTATCAAGTTGCAAGACTGAGGTGGCTGTTGAAATAGCTTTCACATTAGTGAAAAATCTTATATCTAAGTGCAGATTATTTACCTTTTAATACAACCTTTATAAACAGACTAGTGGCCCCAACAGCCAGAGTCAATTTACAGTGAAAAAGAAATGACTACTAAATTACAGCCCAGTATCTGTTCTGAATTGTGTTCTTTGTCACCTAGGATGGTCCCTGGGAGAACATGGTGAATGGGCAAAATACAGCAATTTTGATGTTGCTACCCGTGTACCGCTGATGTTTTATGTACCAGGAATGACAACTTCCTCTGTCAGTCAAGGAATGAGGGTCTTCCCCTACCTCGACCCTTTTAGCCATATTGTAGGCTCAGTACCTCAAGGTAAATTTCCAGTGTTTGTGTTTTGTTTGCAGTGGATATATACAAAGCAGAGGTGGTGATGTAATGACACTTTGCCTACAGGCACCTTGTGAATTTGCTTTGTCTTTTTGAAGAGTTCTTTTACAAAGTGATGGATATTCTTGTCTCTAAGGCTGCACATTTGAGAAACACAAATGGAAAAATTTTCTTGTTTAAAGTACATCATAGTACAATGCATAGACTGGCATCTTCAGAGCTAACTGCCACCCCTTAATTGCCTTGATTTTGGTACCCCACAAATCCAGTACAAAGTACTTTTGATAAAACACCAGCTGAATTATCAGAGTAAGTCTCCTAGAGCGTTCTACCGATGTCGTCAAACCATCATGTTCTGTAACTTGTATTTTGATATTTTTTTCTTCTAGGGCAAAGCAAAAAGGTGGTGGAGCTGGTGTCTCTGTTTCCAACACTTGCTGAACTCGCTGGCCTGCAGGTTCCTCCCACGTGCCCCGAGACGTCGTTCCACGTTGCCCTGTGCACGGAAGGGACAAGCATCGTCCGCTACTTTAATGCCTCTGAGGAGAAGGTGCAGGAAGGGAAGGAGGGCTGTGGTGACACTGCCAGGTGTTTTAATGAAGAGCCTGTTGCTCTCAGCCAGTATCCCCGGCCTGCAGACACTCCCCAGTGGAACTCTGACAAGCCAAAGCTGAAAGACATCAGGATCATGGGCTATTCCATGCGCACCATTGACTACAGGTACACGGTGTGGGTTCAGTTTAATCCTGACAACTTCAGCGCTGACTTTGAGCATGTCCATGCAGGAGAGTTGTACATGATGGAGACTGACCCAAACCAGGATTACAACATCTATAACACCACCTCACATGGTTGGTTTTTCAAAAGGATTCTTGGCTTTCTGAAGCACTAGGGTTTGGGAACTTCTCTGTGCCTGTTCTTGCAGCTGAATTAATGCTTCCCTCTTTTGTATAAAACCTTTCTGTTGTACAGAAAACACTTGGATTGAATTAAAATCCTGTCTGTATCGAAACACTAGTTATTGCCTTTTTCTTGTTACAGCCCTTACTGCACTGAAGGTAGTCAGAGGGAATTTCTGCAATTATGTTTTCAATCACAAGCTCACAACACTTTTGAAAAGGCCACACAGAGTATGCAGGCCCATACTGTGAAACATCTCTGTGATCTTCTGTAGCAAGCGAAGAATTAAATTTCATTATCTGTGCTGAAACTGTTGACATGAAAGGTGGAAAACCAGAAACTCCTGTGTTTGAAAGAGAATGAGTACCTCTACATAGGTCCTGTCCCGTTTACTTAGGAGGCTTGGGGCTGGAGTGGTCGGGGAGACATTTGGTGGTGGTGAAGGGCTGGGGTGTCTGCTGTCATCAGCCTTACCTCTGTCTAGAGCTAAAAGAGAAACTTCATGTGTTTCATTCAAAATTTAATTATTTTAAATAAAAGCTTTTATTTGGAAATTCATACTTCTTATAGAGCAGGAGAATCTGAACTTTTGATTAATGTGTGTGAAATGAGTGCTTTCATCACTGAAACACTAAATAAGACTGGGGGCTTAAGATGACACCAATATGCTCTTCTGGATATTTTCCTGAGGATTGGTCTAATTGGTCTCCACAGGTGAAAGGAGGTGGAAACCTTTAGCTCCTGTAGCTTCCTGGTTGTTGAACTGCTCAGTGCACTTGAGGGTTGTTATATCCAGTGACAGAAACCTGGATGTTTGCATTCTTCAGTGCTAACTGGGGCTTGGCAGTCTCTGTTTCGGACTAGGATAGCTAAAAGCTTCCCATTTAGTTTCAAGTTTTTAGTGTGGCATTTATCAACACAGGATGTGGAGCATTAGTTGTCCCAAGCTGTGCTGTAAGTAATTTCCAGATGGACAAATGCATTAAGGTAAATATGTTTGGGAGCTTGTATCTGAGAAAAACGGGTTTGCTGAGTATTTTATTTGAGTGCTGTCTGTACCATGTGCTCACAGCCACAAGGTACACAGTGCTTTAGTGTGAGGGCAGTAATTTGTGTTGTGTTCTATCAGCCTACTGGGTTTCTGCAGTTCTGTCTTGGTAATCGAGGGTCTTGGAATTTGGGCCTTAGCAAATAACAGCTTGTTCAGATGGTGTTAACTCCTGCTACCTTCCTTAATGAACTGCTCCAGTTCCTACAAAAAGCCAGCCATTACTTGTCTTCCTGAGATAAATTGCCTTTAATATCCTAGAGAAGCCACAGACATAACTTTATTTCATTAAAATCCACGTGACAGTCTTATTCCTAATTAATGTGGAGATACCCACCATGAATCTGTTTCTCTCTTAGAAGACAGCGATTATTTAGTGCCTTTAAACTCAATTAGAAGAATATATTTCTTACGAACTTGTCATTTGTTTTACTCAGCCCAAGATCCCGTGTGTTCTGCAGCATTATTATTCCAGGTGAAAACATATTTTCCCCTCTTTTATGCATATATACTTAGATCCTCAGCTGGTGTGAAGTGCTTCAATTGCAGGTAGCAGATTCAATGTAGCTGTACCAATTTCACACTGGCTGAAGGTATGGGTATGTTTTACTGAGAGCAGTGCCAGACAGTTTTGGAGTCTGCAGCTAGGGCTAATTATAGCTCTGACACACTTCCCTTCAAAGGAAAATTAAATATTGGGAAAGTTATTTTGGGGCATGTATCGAAGCGTTAAGGATTATTCTAAATCTCTGGTGTGCTGGGTCAGTAATACAGTGTACATTTAAAATTGATCTGGCAAATGGGTATTATCTGAGATTTGGCTACGTGAGCTTTGTGTTTTGTTCTGCTAAGACACCTGTAAAATAACCAAACAAACCACACTTTTTGGGGGGATGTACAATTATAGCATGTAGATAAATTATTTAGGAATTTATTTGCATGAAAAAATTCCTGTGCATACCATACCCTAAGCCTCCCATCACTTCAGGCAATTTAATTTTTCAAGTGGAGATAAAAGTCCTGGTGGTAGGTGATGAGTATTTTTTCCTCAAGTCATTCTCTTTATATTGAATGGGAAAAGCTGCCCTTGACCTTTCTTAATCAAAATCCAGTAATCTTTTGGGGAGACATGAAACAGAATTGTCTCTGACAGCCAGTGAATCAAGATGTATCCGTGAGCTGAGGGCAAGGACGTTCTTGAGTAATTGCAGAAGTCCCTGGGCAGGACTCTGCAGTCCACCTGGAGAGGTGGGCCCTCCTGCCTGCTGCTGAGTTTGGACTTAGCATTTTGGGGGAAGAGTGAGGCACAGAGGTGAAAAAAACTGCTCTTACAAGTGCCAGGTGATAGTTTGTTATTGAATAGGTAAAAATATAAATCCAGCAGAAACAAAGGGAGAAGGCCCGTTTTTTTCAAAGGAACCGAAACACTGCTTCTGCTGGAGAGCCTGAGCCATGGGTCTTACTGGGCTGAGCAGCCTCCACTGAAGAACAAAAGAGCTTAACAGGAGCAATAAAAGTAAAGTGCTCTTGTGAGCCTGCTCTCTCTAGGGGGAAGAGGATGCAAGCCAAGCATCAGGAAATAAATGAGATGCCAGTGTTGACCCTATTTCTCAGGATGGCACCAGAACAGCTGGAAGAACAGCATGATGCTGCCTCAGCAGGAATTGTTACCTGTGGTACATGTATGGAGAGACTCCACTGGGGACCCTGGAGTAGCCGCCGTAAGCACTTGGCACAAAGTGGAGTCAATAAACAGGCCTTTGTTAATAAGCTAATGTACAGGAGTGATTAAGCAATGGAATTAAGATTTTGGTCCCTAAACAGCTGTACATCAGTCAATCATAACTCTTGATGTTGTTTCAAGTGTATAGATGTACAACACCCTAAATCAAAGTTTTTGAAGCAAAGTAAAAAATTCACTGTTTACCAAGTAGAAGCAATAGGAACTTAAAAAGATGGAGGTGGCTGTGTATTTGGGTGTTCTTTGTAACACTAAGTGAATGTTTACAGCATGCTGTTTGCAAAGAAAAGATTTGGGTTTAATTTCAGGCATGCTGTGCACACTGGAGTATGTGCAAATGCTGTAGCTACACACTGTGCTGTGCAACAGATTGGAATCCACCCTTTGGCCTGTGCTTGCTGGGGGAAATGGGGTATGTTTTGCATTAATGTGAGAGTTGCAAATGTGTTTCTGTGGTGAAGCAGGCAAAGGCAGCTGAGTGCCCCAGCTATTGGTCAGATGTTACCTAATTAATCACCACTGCATGTTAATTACGTATTAGTGACTTGCTGCTGTGTTGTATTGGTCAAGTGGAGTCCCCTGCTGGAACGAGTGTTCCACAGCATGAAAGATGGGATATGGATGTGATGGTTCAATATCAGGGATGTTTCTTAATTCCCGGTGCTAACGTGTATTTTCTGTGATAAGCAGCAATATCACCAGTAGCAAAAGGGCCATGAAGTCATGGTCAGCACCCAGGATTGCAGGGCAATGTGCACGGTTTATGTTTCAAACTATATTTGGGAAGTGCCTGGTAGTTGCAGCTGAGATCCTTTGTTGAATGTGTAATTCTTCTTTTTATTTTTTTCCTCCAGTGGTTACTTAGCATTCAAATGTGAAACGCTACATAAAGAATGAAATTGCCCTCTTGGTAACTAGGTTTTCTGGTGCTTTACAGTTTTCTAGGCTATAGAACTTCTTGCTTTTCACATCAGAAACTCCCAGCCAAGTTAAGATGACTCTGTGTCAAAACTTTTTATGTCTCTTTCTTTGACTTCCTAGCTAATGAAAATTATCTTCAGATCTGCATGGGTGGATCTCGACTCCAATGTTCTTCTCTACCTAAATGTACAGGTCTCCTTTTAAAGTCTGTGGGAGTTCTGCTTATGAAAGAAGATAGACTACCAATGTCAAGATCCACCATATGAAGCAGCAAAAAGAGCTTTTTGCCCTCTGTCTTTAACACTTGGCTCGGTACTGAGTAGCAGAAGAACATTTCTATCCAGCAGTGTGTGAAGGCCCCAACTGTAATGGAGCTTTGACTAAGCAAGAGGAAATGGCAAAGTCTGAGGTATTTCTGTAGGTGCAGTTGGACATGGAGTGGGGATAATAGACTGAAGCAGCAGAGAGGAAAGGAACAGTAAGATGTAATGAACAGTGAAATCAGATGTAAAGTCGTGATCTGAAAGATTAGGATCCAGCAAGAAAATAGAACAGAAATCTAAAGAGAGCAAGATTGGAAAGGCAAATATTTTGTATCTCTGGTTTTAGGCTCTGCACGCATCTAGGGGCATTCAGATCTTCATTCAGATGTTTCTGCTCTGTTTTTTTCCTGTGTTTAGGTATAAAATCCATAAGCTTTGCCCATGTTGTGATTGTATAAGTTCTTTGAATTTATCTCAGAAGCACTTCTGAAAATCTACCTCAGTATGTTTGGAGTTTTGTCCCAGGTATACTCAGTCTGGCATTATCCATGTATTCAAAACCCTTGCTCTTTTCTTTTGGTCCCAGTGCTGTAGGAGAATCAAAATCTGTAATTTCTAGTATGTTTTACACCTGTGCTGAAGGTTCCATGTTTCCTGTGTAACTGAAGAGCAGTTACCTGTGGGTTACATACCCCTAATGGTTTGACTTGCTCTGTGGCCAACCTGCACTAAATGTCTGGCAGACCTTGGGGCTGGATTCCACTGAGGCTGCTTAGTGAGGTGGGGACAAGTGGCATCAGTCTGGTTGTGCTTCAGTGCTGTGTTGGGCTGCAAGTCTCCTGAAAAAAAGTCTTGATTGTGCATCTTTTGTAGACATTATAAGAGCTGGCTGAGTATCATCTGACTGTAGCCTTTTTTTTTATTTATTTCTGTCAGGAAAGTATTTATTTGATTAAATCAAACTGTCTTATGTAGAGATATTGCTTTGGTGACAGTTATATTGAAAAGTTTTGCTTTGATAAGATAGGGGACCTTCGCTTCAATTTTATTTCAATTTTTCATTTATATTGTGTAATTTTGACATAATATAAAAGGGTATTATAACAAATGAGAATGCAATTACTTTGTGAAAATAATAAAGTCA